ACCGATTCCCTTTCTATAGAGTTACTATTACTCAAAACAAAAAAGAAACTCCTTTCAGTGATGAAAATGTCACCGAAGTACGCGTCAAAGTACGGATTCGATAAAATGCCAGCCTATAAGCACGATTTTGCGTCAATACCCACAGAACATTTGGTAATTCCACAAGTTGACTCACATTATGTGATAAAGGTAGGTATTTCTCTACAAAAAAAAACCATGGCTGACGATGCAAATTCATACTCGAACAGGTTCAAGAGGTGGGAGTCCATGGACTCTTATTGACCAATTACTCAGCGGCACTAGCTATCAGGTTCTTCTCATGGGCTGGCCAAATACGATCAACATGAGAGGGTTCATCCACAACACCCCTATGCTCTAGACTTCTAAACCGATTCCTACGTACTGTCACATTTCGGAATCATTGAGATCATCATCGGCTTGTCATACAAATTCATAGCCCGGTGCATACATATACATATGTGCATGTCTTCGTACTGCGTCAGCCTCACGATCAAATGTAATGTCCAGGAAAGTTGCTCAGTCCCCTCAATATCCCCTTTTCCCAAGTCGTAGTGTCCAGCGATGCCATATCGCACCTGCCGATAAGCAATTCCAAGCACCCCAAAGAAGTTCTCAATCAGCTGAGGTCGCTCGATAAGTAACATCCCATGGAATTCCTTTGACTTGCGTATAGCATGCCATTCTTCAGTCATAGATGTGCCCCATCCCTTCATATACGAATCCACATCGCTCCATTTCCAAAAGTATAACCATCTAAGAGCATGACCATTCTGCTTTTTCACAAGTGCATAATTTTAGATAACCTCTCATCGGAAGTTCATTTTAGATAGATCTCTGTTGAATCTCTACATCCATTGATGCATATGTCTTGTTTTTGGCTTTTTCAGGATCTTAATGAAGTCGATGAGTCGAAGTTGGTCGCCTACGATGTCAGCATTTCTCATCGTAGTCGAGCCAAATATCTCATGAACTTCATATCTAGCGATGACTCATTTACAAAGGTAGCACCGGTTACCAACTTTTTTTTCTTCCTAATTCTACATCTTCTTCGAAGACAGCCTTCTTGCTGATCACATGGGCCCCTGCTTCTTCAGACCGTTCCGAATTAATGGGGCTCAGGTGTCGGTGGTCTGCTTAGGTGACCCTTATACGGTCGTCATTGAGGTCTACCTCCTGACCGCTCTATACTTTCTGAGCGCCCAATTGCTGAGCATCCCTTTTGTGTCCAAAAATTTACTGTAATCGTGTTCAGATAGCTTTGGATGGCAATGGCAAGGTGGTCGGAATCGGTTGTGTTCGTGCCGTCTATTCCAATGAACTTTGTGCGGGACCATTTTATGCTGACAATAAGGTAAGTTACATCAAATTGCTAACATTACAGAAAAAAGTGCAAAAAGATTACTATTCGTGGTAAAAATCGAGTTCCGTTAAACTTTCGAAGCTTTTTCTGAGCACCACTAGTTTAAATTCCTTTCAAGATTAAAAAAAGAATTGGTTTTTCGATAACTGCATAACCCTGATAATTGTTAGCGTAATTGGCGATATGATTGTGAGACAAAGGTATGGAAGGTAAGAACAAAGAGGAAGGTAAGAAACCAGTGACCAATCGCACTGTATCAGAAGCCACTCCAAACCCTGCCCGCCAGGTGGTGTTATGCCAAGTGCCGGGACACACCATCACACTCACTGCCGGATCGACTACCGGATTGCTACTCGTCCAGACCAACCAAACCTTGCAGTACTCTTCGTGGTTCATTGGAACCATGCTCTTTTGGGGAGAGAACACTGACTTTCACACCAGCTAGCTACCTCAAGTCATTGTGTTGACCACTTGCGCAGTTAGGGCATCGCTACGATTTTGAAGGGATTTCGAGTGCAGAGCCCATACCGAAACAGAGCTTATTCTTCATATTAAGTTCATTTGGCGTGATCTTAAAAGAAACAGCTTTTGCCTTGTTTGTGGGACAAAGTCTCTTTGTTTCCTTCGCCGATGAGCCAGTACCATACTTGCCTTCTGTGAGAAGCGAACGGACAGTGATCTTTATAGTTCATTTATCGAGAGTTTAATTTTCACAGCATAAATCGGATTTAAAAGGTGCGTCTCTGAGAAAACAATCCCCATCCAGTACATTACAAATGGCTGAACAAGGATAGCCTACTCAGTAGTAAGCCAAGAATATAGCTCCGTTTAGGCTGTGGCAGAATCGCTTCTGTCCAAAATCCTTTCATCAATACCTGACATCAAGAAGTATAAAACATTCGGATCTCTCTATCCAGCAATCAATTCGGAAGCTGCTAGGTTGTTGCTTCTCTAACTCAGCTTTAAAGGGAACTTTCTGAACTAGTCTGTTTCAGTGTTTTCGAAGCGCTCGGAGGTGGTCATGCCCAAATTGGTCCATTCACTCAGTGCCAATTCACTAAGCGGATCTTCCCAACCTCCGATGAGAAAGTTTTTGGAGTCATCGAGTGTGCCTGCAGTATCGTCTGAGCTGTTTTATTAACAATAGCTTATTCGTATGTTTGTTGAATAAAATCATGGGACATTTGGATGATTGCCCAATGAACTTTGTATGGCAAAACATTGTTTCTCCCAATTTTCGATAAGCTCGTCGTCTTCCGAGTTCTAGAAGCCTTCCAGAACTGGTTTCAGAGGGACTCGTAGGGTAGAGGGGTAGAGGGACTTCTATCGGATAAGTCGTAAAATGGTTTCTACCACTTTAGGCTCCAAAGTAAGCAACTTTGGCAGAGAGTCATTTTTCAATATCGTGAGAAGAAGGGGTAGCCGGCCTTACCTGTGCTTTGAGTAGTTCTGAGGTGATGAGTATAGTTTCTAGCGGAGCCTGAGGAGGGGAGGAGCACCGTGGTGGGGACGTTGCTAAGCACATTTATGGGCCAACCCTTCTTATCTGTGCTCAATATTGAGAAGAAAAAGCGTGGATCTCCTAACTACATTATCATCTCCGATTTTTGTATAGCAAGATGCCAGTACAGGTAGAGATCACAATTTTGAAAACTCCAGTCCGCTCCACATTGCTCACCTCGTTCCGCAGCATTCGCTCCACTTCATCAATCTACCCACAAAGTAACTGTTTCTATTGTAGGATGAAACTGGGTTTCCCATACTACTACTCTTTCTAGACATAAAGTTCAGAACGGACAAACCGACATCCAAACTACTGCTTTATAAAGAAGAGAGACAACTTGATGTGTCGGTTTGTCCGTCTGTCGGTTTGTCTGTCTGTCCGTCCGCGCAAGGTTATGAATCCGATGAAGGTGGGGAGTTGAGCTCCTTCAGGATTTCCTTCTCATAGATAAAGCAATATTTTAATGGGTCGGTTACCTTCGTGGAGTCGGGTGAGTGATGCGAAGTTGGTCTTTCGACTCTACCATTCCGACTCTAACACTGGCATCGTGGCATGTATGCCTACACAAAATTCGGATGAGGAAATGCAGCTGAGGGGCCTCCGCTTTTTCCTACATCGAGTGCTAAGCGCAGATAGGGAGGTTAGCCGATTTTGCAAGCCTATGGTGCGAGGATGCTCATCCCTCATCCTCATCCCCCATCCCTCCACCCTGGCAGGACATGGACTAAATACATGCCATAAAGTCAGTTGAAGAAGCTTCGGTGATATCGACTGGCATTACACCGTCAGCGTGTGGAAAATTTATTTTCTGCACAACACAAGGAGGATACAGATCACTATGGTGGCGACCAATACACCAGCTATAACCCATCCGGCTATCTGAAATGCTCTGCAATACTTAGTAAATTAGAACGCAACATAAGCTTCTGACAGTGTTTTTACATCCTTATTTTACAAATTGAATAGGATTACTCACGGTAACCGATCCACAACATTCACTCAATGTAGGTCCACAACAGTGTTGCTCATATACGCCAAATGATTGGCACTCTTTTGTGATACATGTCTGAATTTCAAAATTCGAAACCTCAGGACTCAAACTTCTGAGAGTTAGATAAAGAACGTGAGCCTCCATCTGAACGCACCCGTTTGTCGATAGGAAAGAAGTCTGGCATTGTATGATGTTCGAGCGGAGCGTTTACTTAAATGTCCCTTGGCGATGGTTCTTCCTACCAGCTCCTGGAAAACATTCATCTACAAAAGAGCTTTCTTATAGGAGGTTCACGTCTAGCAAAGAACACGACTTACTAATCCACAACGCGCTGAAGTCAGCTGCTACCGATAGAATGGAGCTGGAGTATCCGAACGCATTTATATAGTGGTAACGTATCAGTCCTGTATCAATATCGCATCACTACGAATCATCGCTCAGATTCGAAGAACCTCGATCGGTTTTATTATAAATTCTTGATTCGGAGCCTGTATTTAGGCTTGGTTTTTTCCTCTTCCTCACCTTTTATTCAGTAAATCCTTGCTCTAAAGCAGAACCCTGCTCGGCAGAATGAGTGAGAAGCATTAAGGGCACTAAAGGCAGAGTTCACGATGGAAACGGTCTCTGAGATTTCCCTGTAGTATGATTTCGAGGTTCTCCCTATACCATACCTGTTGTTATGCGGGGAAAAGTGTCTTGGATAGGGCACAATAAGGAACCAGAGATTGTATCGTGTGAGTGCCACACCCCTACAGGACGGGTTTCAACGGCTTTGTAGGGGCTGCACTATTCATAATGGAAGCAATGTAGGAAGTTCAAAGAATTTGCCATGACCCATAGCGACAGTGAAAGGCAGTTTCGGACAATTTCGGTTCGATGTAGTCATCTCTTTGAGCAGTGAGAGCAAGTTAAATCTCGTCCAACACCCGTTACATGAAATTTCCGTCACGGTGATCTCGTACAATCTCAACTTCCNAAGAATTTGCCATGACCCATAGCGACAGTGAAAGGCAGTTTCGGACAATTTCGGTTCGATGTAGTCATCTCTTTAAGCAATGAGAGCAAGTTAAATCTCGTCCCAACACCCCTTACATGCCATTTCCGTCACGGTGATCTCGTACAATCTCAACTTCCACTACTTCTAAAAAGCCTTGATGCAGGCGGGTTTCCTCACTTTCTTCGCCACCGATGTAC